ACGTGAATAGTCTAATATTCAAATGTGATCTGGAAAATCTTGCTGTGTATAAAATTTGTGAATTTCAATTTTTCTCTTGAATCCCAATACATATATATATACACAACCTTTTCAGATATTAAGTAAATATATAAATCTAATAAATACTATAATTTTTAATCTATGTCAAATTGTAGAGAGTACAAAGATTTTAAATGGCTATTTTTGTATTCATCAATGATTTCCAAAGAGTTCAGCATTTTCTTCTGTGTCCATAGACTGGTATCCTTGCTGTAAAATATATTGTTTCTACTAATAGCATACTAACATGATGTAATGGAGAAGTAATATCTATTACACATACACGTCGTTGATGATTACTGTAACACTCTTCTAATAATTCAGTTTCCCAATCATCTTCTTCTTCTTCACCAGGATCAAAACTATACATTGGCATAAGTCTGTGCCTTAAGCGCTCTAATTTTCTCTTTCTCGATATAATTATCACCTTTAAAAGTGTGCTATGTTATTAAAAGTATATACTGCGCTAAATGTTATGAAAGTGTAAAGAAAAGATTTCACTAACAAAAAACTTAATCTTTCCTCAAAGAAAAAATATTGTGGATTAACATAACTTTAAAAATGTAATACAAACTGACCAACAAACACAGACTATACTACGAAACTGTTAAAATACCTAATGTAGAAATATTTATCCAAGTATTATAATTTGATTGTTACTTTTATTTTATGCTTTTTGTTTCTGTAAATGAAAGTCAGAGAAAGATTATGATTTAAGTACAAAAGTGATATCGCTACCCATACCACAGCTGATAATACAATAACAAAGACCACTACACCCAGTGGTACGAAAATGTATTCTATTCCTTCTGGTGGGCCGAATTCATCATATGCTTCTGTTGTCGTGGGCACATATATACTGGGGCTTGAAGTTTCCAAAGAAGCTATAGTGTTATTAGGCAACGATGTTGTAGCTTTAGAAATATCCCATAGTTGTTGATTATTGCCATTTTCCTCAGTAGAATACAAGTATGATTCAGATGATTCATCAGAAACATTATTCTCCATAGTGGTGGTATAATTCCTGACGCCATCAAGTAGCATCATGGACGTTACAGTGCTTGTGATGCTTGATATATTCATGTCGTTCATCGTTAGTAATTAGATAACTATATTTAGTTATACAAAAAAAGATGTATTTAGAGATATTTAAAAAAAAGTTGACTGATAATCTATGTTATTTATGTTATAAAAATTGAATCTTTGGAACTTATACAATGAGACTTTCTTGTGACTTGTTTACCTTGATCTACCAAAATCAGTGAACATAATATGCAAAAGGCGTTAAATGTTCTCTTAACGATGCATTAATGGATTATCATGTGAAACACTATTTCTTATTCTGTGCTCGGATTATACATAGGTAATATGCTATACGTATTAGTTTATCACATATCTAGAATTGTAAAAGAGAAATCGAACGCGATGGAAAACACGTTTGCTGGATTGGGTACGTAAACGAACAGATAACTATTCGCATCTTGATAAATTTCCATGCTACACTATCAATGGGAAAATACGATAAGAATTTCACATCGTCGGGAATACATCGTGACTTTATTTCTGTGTTTCTTTCCAAGACCTTCTTCGATTTTCGTTTATCCAATTAACGATTCTATCGGTTGCTTACATTACAGCAAACTGCCAAATATGTATTTGATAAATGCATTTACATGTTCTCGGCTCTTGATCTATGTATGAATCAACGAAACGAATTGTATTCCATTGCTTAAACATTACGTGTAATAAATCATAGTTCGTTTCGAGAAATAATGTTCATTCTTCTCACAAATGAAATGCAGATTATGCTCTCTCGTCCAGATTAACATTTCATTTCTTTAACATCGCATTGCAGTTCTCCATGGACGTACTCAACGCGAAATGCAGGTAATGACTATCGAACCGTTCCTTAACCGAACCAGACTATCTATCGATGCTTATCGAGATATTTTTTTCATTGTATCGATTTTAACATCTTTCGTCGTTATCGCGATATTAATGAAGGCAAAATGATTTAAAATCATTCAAAAATTATTCAATTATATAAATGGTTTTCACATATTATATATTGTACTATGCAATTGCCTTATGCGATTGGTCAACTATCAAGTATATGCATGCATAATAATAAATTATGATACACAAATTATGTAATT